ATTAATTGATGTATTGATCGTCATTTTTGTTGAACCAATTTTGTACCCGTTTGCTCAGGTTGTCAATATGTCAGCTTATTGTAAATGTACTACTTGCCCAACCTCCAACTCTGATCCTCCAATACACCAAGATATTACATAATTTTTTTTTCAACTACTAATAAGGCGTGCCATTAAACTATTTCGAGAACGCAAACGTTATCTGGAGAACACTAACGAGGTTAAACTATACGTGAAATACGAAAAGTACCTTAAACATATCTTTTGGAGAACACAAACTCAATCAGGAAACAAAACCTATCTGAACAACACAAACTATCTGGAGAACAAACGAAAAAAGAACGGCCAGGAAAACACATAAGCTACTTGGACAACACGAATTTGAAACATAATAGCTATTTTGAGAACATAAAATTCTATCTGAAAAAACTGCTACGCTCACTCGTGCAGATATCATATCTATTCGTGGATAAAAATCGTATCACTCATAAATCATAGGATATCCTCTATATATTGTATTGCATTGTATTGTATTATATTGTGTTGTGTTGTATTGTATTGTATTGTATATTTATTGCCTCATTTATATGAGAGAATACATTTTAGTATACATATGGTTTACATATAAAATATAAAATACAAGGATAAGATTAAATTATGTGATAAAAAAGTTGTTGTTTTGGAAAACATGAAAATAAAGTGATAGAGAAATTATGTGTCAAGCAGAGCCAACAGGTTGGCTCTGTGATTGTACATTTTGTGTACACATGATGATACAATTATTAACGTCTCACATGAAACATCTGAGAGACCTAAAACTTTCTTCATAATAACACCCATACTGTCACCACGACAGCCAAGGGCTTCAAATATGTTATGCCTATATGGTTCATACATAGGGCATCTTAATATAAAATGTTCAATTGTTTCAGTTTCACAGAGGTTACACAATATACATCGTTTTGAACCATTGAAGTTGTTCGTATTTAATACATGGGCGTTACATATCAATTGCATCATAGTTTTACACTGGCTTTGACATTTAGGATATTTCTGACAAATCAACCACCATATGCAAGGTTTTAAGTCTGTGACATAGTCACGTAGGTATAAAAGTTTGCCATAACATGAGCATTGCAAGAAAAATTGCTTGACCTCGACGGATCTTACAGCATTGACAATTTGCAGTCTCCATGACCTCTTCGACGGAAGATATCCAGAGTCCAGCGCATTTTTAACCAGATTTTCAATTCCTAGCATTTTGGTCTTAAGGAAAATGCGCCGGATAGGAGAGAAAATATCGGCATGGTTGTCATAAGTGACATGAAACATCTTTACTAACCGTGTTATAGTTATATCCCTGTAAATATTATTAAACCTAAGTAAACTCCAGAGATACATCATCTGCAACACTGTAATATAGCCGTCTATTGACAACCATCCCAACGGCATCGTTGCACTAGGATTGGCTGAGGTTTTGGGGAAAAATTGGATACGTTTGCCAATCTCCCTATGAGTCAATTCAAGCTTTTCAACATCTGACGCTTGGTAATTTATAACTGGTGCCCCAAACAGCATGGTTGGAATAGAAAAGGCCCAGTACAGTTTTGATGCTGTTAAGGGTGACAAACCACCTGTTTTGTGCCCCAGTCCCAAAAGTGAGCAGAATTTTCGCTTACCACTAGTGCAGCGATCATTAACATATTGTGAGATATCATTTTTACTAGATATTGGAATACCAACATGAACAGTGAAATTGACCTTTGGAATTCTCGTGTCACCTATCTTGAGAACGACATGACCTTTAACACTTGAATCAGTGACCATATCATTAAATGTCAGAAAGTTACATTTCGCTGGATGGATTTCATATCGCCATCTTCTACTATGTTCAAAGGCAGCGTTTAACATAAGTTGCATATCCTTTTGATTTGTGGCAATAATGGTCATGTCATCCGCATAAGAAGGACATACACAATTTACATCATCAATGTGGCCACCTATATTCATTTCACATAGATCCTGAATAAGGTCAGCCATGTACAACTGATAAAATAGCATAGATAGGACACCCCCTTGGTGGACGCCCTGCATGACATTAAAAGGTTTAGAAAGTGTATTTGAACTTCCTACACGAACGGCACATTCATATTTATGGTAATTATCATAAAGCATACGCCACAGTTTGCCACGGATACCAAGTTTATGTAGTTTGACCATCAATCCATCTAACCAAACGGTGTCAAATGCTTTTCTAATATCTAATGTGGCTAATATTACATTTCTATGCTTTTCGACATTGTGGGCAATGGTTTCCTGAACTAAAAGGGAAGTATGAACAGCAGAGCAATGACTCTGAGAAGCACCTTGTAAGTTAGGCATAATATTTTTTGCAAGGGATCCAATTCTTTTTAACACAATATGATCGTACACTTTACGCAACATGTTCATCAGAGTGATGCCTCTGGAATTGTCTTTATTACAAGGATCTTTATTTCCTGCCTTTAGTATAGGTATCAGTATACCAAACCTAAAATTCATGGGAGTGTATTCGTTTAACATGGTTGCATTAAAAAGGGTACATATGATCGAAATTACAGTGTCATTGCTAAATTTTAAATGTTCGGCACATATCGTATCCGATCCACATGCACGATTATTATGCAACCGTGATATGGCATTACTCACTTCACTATCCTGAAATGGTTCATCAAAGAAAGTATTATCTTCAAAATATGATGTTTGCTTAATATGCATAATATCATTTTCAATTTCACACTTGGCATGGCTGTGAAAATGAGGCTTATCAGAAGGGGTTGCCAAACGAGCAAAGTGAGTGCGCCATTCATCCCTTATTCCAGCCTCGTCACTTACGATGACGTCATTATCAGATTTAATTGGAGACAGACGCCTAGAAGCCCTATTTCGGCTCTTATTGAGAAGATGCCAATAGTAACGCTGATCAAGTGATTCTGACCTGTATAGACGATTAAGCTCATTTTGTTCATACATAAACTCACTACATCTAAAACATTTTCTAAAAGCACATTTGGCAGATTTATATTGGGCCCTAATTACATTATCCGCATTTCTGTACTGCACTGCACTGTACTGTACCGTAGTACTGTACTGTACTGTATTGTATTTATTGTAATGTATTGTATCGTAATGTATTGTTTCGTATTCTATCGTATCGTATTGTTACGTAATATATAGTACTACATTGTATTGTATGGTATTACAATTTATTGTATTATTTTGTTTTGTATTGTGTTGTATTGTATTGTAATGTATTGTATTGTATCGTATTGCATCGTATTACATTGTATTGTATTATATTGTGTTGCATTGTATTGTATTTATTGTATCGCAATATATTGTATCGTATTATATTGTATCGTATTGTAATGTTATGTTATGTATTGTACATGTATTGTATTGCACTGTCGTATATGAAATTTCATTGTATTTTGTCGGATCGTATTACATTGTATTATTGTATTGTAATGTATTTTTTTACAATGTGAAGTGTTTACCATTGTTGACAGGCTTCCTCGAAGAGTACAAATATTACGCTAATATATCTAAATCAAAGAGAAGTCAATGCTCTAAGCTACTATAATTTCCTGTGTCCCTCTAATTAATCTTGGCAAATACTAATAAATTACTGTTTCATTCATGTCCAGCACAAATTCAATTAAGGTTGCCTTTACTGTACTCTCTGTTTACGGACATGATGATGGACTAATGGGGAAATAAATTGCGACCACTGGCTTCAAAATACATAAATCTCATGCTTGATCCATCGCGTATTAGATTGCTCATGTAGGCCAAAGCATTGATGAATGTCTTCTGTACAGAAAATGTTTTCGTAATGACTGAAATATAGGTCCAATCTAGAGAGATTTACAGGATGTGAATTTATTCTTGTACTTTTACGACAGTAATTCATGGTTAAACATGTCCATACAATCAATCTACGACGAAGATTCAAAACAACTAATTAGGACTTACTACTTCAGTCCTGGTACGCAACGAAGATATGACCAGTTTATGTCGGTTCTGAGCAAAAACTGCTAACTAGAATAAAAACAAATAGTACTATGATACGTAAGTTTGAGGGTCTTAAAATGGGTTATAGTGCAATTTGAGCCAGATCAGTGAACGATTTTTCTTGGATTTCTTAGTGCATGCGTTTTTTCTGGCAAAATTCAAATTCTAAATAATTCAGTGTGCCAACTTTGGGGCGTGACAGTCCCCCGAAATGGACAATCATGCCGAAAAGTTATTTTATTTTTCTACGATTACAAACTTTATTTCATTAATACAGGGTGGTCAAAAATGGAAACCCTCCCACTATTTTTCTCATGTCTTTGTAATTTTGGCACATTTGTACATCATTCAATTTTATACCAGCTTACCATATTTGATGAACATATTAGTCGCAATGTTACAGCATTTTAAACAACATGCTCCAGTGGCAACTATTGCGCTATAGGCAAACATGCACACGTCGTCGAAAATATCCCTAGCTGACTTCTAGCCGTAGGGATAGCCCAAAAATGGAGTGTGCGAGAATGACCTTACAGGACAATTGTAGACCTGGAATCATTCATGTCATTCAGGCCATACTTGCTGAGGAATGCAGTCGGGTCATTGATAACTTGTGCCTAAGGCGCGATGATGTCCCCACCTGACGCATGTTGTTTAAAGTGCTGTTACATTGTCACTATTAGTATGACGGTCATGAAATATGTTAGGGTGGTAGGAAATTGAATGATGTACAAATGTATAAAACATCAAGGAGTAATTTCTCAAATTGACAAAGATATGAGGAAAATGTGGGGTTTCCATTTTTTGACCACCCTGTACTATCAAGATAATTTAGCAAAAAGTTAATCGGATTTCACCAAGTTTCAGGGTAACTGCATTTTCCGATTTGACTACAAAATTTAACATTGCTTATTTTTGCAGATTTAGTAATATATTTCATTTGTACATCTTTATACATATTCATACATTATAGATATATAGCTACCATTTGACTCTTAATAACTGAGATACAACATTCTCTATAATTTCATAAGTTTCGTCACAGTATCCAGTTGCTTTTTTCAATACACATCACCGGGCAGTGTCCTGTCCAGTATAGGGGATACATTAATAGTGTCAATTGTATCCTTCAAATAGGCGAACGATATAGGGTGACGGCTACCATTTTTTACTTTTCATCGAATTGAAGTAGTTTTTCATTGCCTTCGGAAAGGACTTATCCGCCATTTTGAAAGATACTATAACGGTCGAAAAGGTATTTGATTCTGACCACTGGCTCTGAATGAAAGAGATTTGTTGCCTGGTGACCGCTGTTTGAAACATATAATCCAAGTATGATATGCATATGGTTCTATTGTATCTCCTAATGTTGATGGCTACGGATACTAATTATAAAGCACTCGGATTATTGCGCCAACTGGGCAGTTGATATCCATTCATCTTAATGATCTATAATGTTTTTAATGGAGTTAATTCAATCGTGGATATTATACGTATTCAAAAAGTGCATGTCACTCTCTCATTGAACTGTTTATTTCTCACAGCAGCTAGTTCTTTAGATCTTGGAAGCGGTATAGAACTTAGATAAATCTGCATAAACATTGCAAACATCAATGAACTGTAAAGTGTGTCAGTTGCTTATGAGGGGCATTTTGGGTCAATTTAGGCATTTGGCCTTGAAATATGTTTTAGGAAAAATGTTACCATTTAATTACATATAATCCAACATTGCAAACATCAATGAATTGTAAGATGTGTCAGTTGCTAATTATGAGGGGCATTTCTGGGTCAATTTAGGCATAACCTACCTTTTTTGGCAATTGACTATCGGGAGAAATATACATAACATTTTCAGTATTTGTTGTTGTCGTATTTGGTGAAGAGAATCCATTTGTGTGATATTTGCCCGATCCGTTCATGCTTTTAAATGAAAGTACAAGTCTTCGTGACTTTCTCCGACATTCAAATGTGTTTGCCAAAGTCTGACGAAATTTCTTGCCAAAAAGACAATATACGAAAAAGTTGACAGACGAGTTGAGTATGGCGAGCATGTCACTAGTGCGGGTATAGTAATAGTGGACCTCGCCGCATCTAGGCGGGTCCCTGAAAACCCACAGGAACTGGTTGACAAAGCAAGGTGTCTGGCAAACGATAAAGACTATAACGACAACGATTAGGATGAGTGTGACGTCATGTTGATGCCCCGCCACCTGTTCATTGCGTCGCATGCTTCGGGAACATGTGGAGATTCTAACTCGTTCTTTCGCAGCTTTCTTAAGTTCGATGATTAGTTTCGTATTAAGAATAGCCAGGGTTAACAAAGGCACTGTGTACATTATTAAGATATAGGATATCGTCCTGTATGCGATGTTATACGCATTGTCGTACCCCAGTATTAATGGCATCGTTTTGTTATTGCTCTCATAGCCAATGACATAAAAATCAAAGAATCGCGGGACATTATACAGAATGGAGAACAGTACAACAGCCGTTATCTGGAGGCGGACTCTGAAGTGCGTCTCCCATCTCATTGACGTAAGCGGCCTACAAAGGGCGATGTAACGATTTATAGTTACCACTACGGTTAAACCCACTGACGCAACATGTGGCATCTGAAGTAGGGGAGCGATATATCTCTCCAAAATGTACATGATCCTTTTCCAAGTTTCCACATTTCCGGTGTAAAGATAGGCCTGTGGAATGGTAAACGCTAATAAGGAGAGAATAAGTAATGAATTGTCCGACACCGCCAACGATTGGAGCAGCAAAGACGTCGTCGATTTATTCCTCTCCTTCTCCAGAACGATTATTGATAGGGTATTCCCTGTTAGTCCGATCACTGAGATAATCCCGATTAATATAGTATAGATAATCAAATCAAACTCGTTACAGGGGTCATAATTAGAAGTTCTAGATTCATCACCTGTCATATTAATAGGGCTTTCAGTCATGCTTATGTTCACAATTGACATGATTCCGGTATAGTTTGTCGCATTTCTGTCCAACTCATATGCATCCATTTCCTCTTACCCCGCTGATTTTTTGTAGCTTGTGTTGCAGTTTTAATCTTGTGCTTCTTGATAATTTTCTCCAGAACTTTACGACAATGATGTTTTATCATAAAATACGTTACCGTGCTGTCCCTTTTTAAGAAAGAAATGATTAGTCAGTGAATTAATATAATGAATGGTGCTTGCCAGATTTAGTCCATCTAAATAGGACTGAGAGTGCACAATTCGTTGTTTATTCTACTAGCGTAGTTTTTCCAATGTTTCCATGTCAATCACTCAAAGAACTCGGGAATCCACAAGAGACTTGCAATTTTTATTCGAATCCTTAGAGTCAGTGTCAGTATCGATGAAGTTCGCACTGATGGGACTCCTTAATCAGAAACGTACACTTTCTTTTCTTGAATTAAAGCACTGTATTTCTCCCGTATATAAGTAGTAACCGAATCAAGCTATTAATTTTTTGCGTTGATCATATTGATAAATACCACTTGTGTCGGCGCCACTGTTGTAGCGTATCGATATACATTCGTTGATTGCGGGAGTAAATCGGTCGGAACTATTTACGCAATTCGCTCCAACTTCAAATCCGTCTAAATATATATGAGAAGTCTTGTTCTCTTTATATACCAATTATCATATTCACTTCACTTGAGCCATAGTTACTGGCACTAAAATCACTATAATGTTCCAATATCTCAATGATCCAACCGTTTTTAGCTCTTTAAAGAGACACAATACTTTATGATGTCGTAATAGCTGTAATAACCGTATATTTTGATACTTAGAAGAAATACATTAATGTGACGAGAATTTAAATACTTGCATATTTCGCGAGATTGTTAGTCCTTGTTGTATCTCTAACAAACCATTTCTATTTATACACCTGAATAATGCCACATGTTGCAGTTGATTATTATTCTCGAAAAGGTCTTCTTTCATCTATGCAATCATAAAGTGAATTCCTGTGTTGTGATGTTTGTCATTCCCCTTTATGTGAATATCATCATCGTCAGGTTTTCCACTTTCAACCTTTTCTCTCATTTACGTTATTTGCGTCTAAATGTTGAATCTGCAATAATAAAATCAGGTCTCATTAGTTACTTTTGCGAAATTCCCACGTAGACTAGAGCAACTTGATGATTCCGATGACGCGTTGCCAACTACTAATTTAAATCTGTAAGTGGACAGCTGAGCAGCCAATACCAATGTTGTAGTAAACATGCGTAAATCTGCCACAGTTTCTCGTAATTAATTAATGCTTATCTTCATTTGATCTGATTTTCTTTGATTAAAATTTAATCAAGCAAAATAGAACTTTCAATCCCACACATGACACGATCTTGTTGCATTACGCCTGGTATTATGTCGGTATTGTCTACGTAATACGGTATTGTATCAATATCAAATGAAATATAGTATTGTCGGCATGAAGAATCTATTACAAAACTTTTAACACATGGAATCTTTAATATGTTTTTATGATTGTATGTTTACGGAAGCTGTAAAGATAAGACCCCAATAAAACACTATAACAAGAATTGCACATCTGAATTTAGGAATTTACGCGATTGTTCTTTATGATGTCTTCTATCTGACATTCTAAAGCTGTTTTGCTAATGGTATTGGTAATATAGACAGACAGAAATTGTGTGTAATGATATTTTATGGTATACCCTGGAAATTACATTCAAGATCCTTCGTAAGAAAGACTTGATTTGATGGATCATGGGCATTCTATTGAAAGCCCATGGATGGCACTGGGGGATCTGGGGGGCCTGGGGGCCCACCCCCCTTGGGTGGGCCCAGAAAAAGAAATTGGGCCCAAAATATTTTGGGCAAAAAAGGCCTTAAAGCCCATAAGAGTGGGCCTTTTTGGTCATTGCTGGGCTTTGTAAGGCCTTATTTTTTAATTTCAGGCCAAATTTTGAAGAAAATGGGCCTCAAAATTTCAAAATTTCGGCCCATTTTTCGGTTTAAGGGGCCCAAATTGTTTTACCGCGCAAGCTCGGAAGTTTTCTTCTCTGACCTGAGATTTCCCCCCCCTTGTTGGTTCCCAGATCCGCCCCTGGATGGATGCAGAATTTCATTTAGTTGTTGAGTCTATTTTTCATGTTCGACTTTAAGTTGGTTATTATACAAGTTGGAACAACTGAAGAATTGTGAATCAAGCTATCTATTTTCACAGAGACGTGCTTAGTTGCGTAGGATAATGTACGAGGGGTGATCAATAAGTAATGGACGCTTTTTTACACAGATGCTTTTTATAGACCAATCCCTTCGATTTTCTTACCAGTGATACATCATTCAATTATCTATCAACTCTGAAGATTTGAAGACAATATATATATTACATGTTGATATATCTTTATTTCCGTGAAGGAGGTACAGGTACCCCGGGACCGACATTTACGTCACATATTCTGAAGCTATTTTAGATTGTTTAACATGCAATGCAGTTGAATGCAGGCTGAACAAAACAAACCATTATGGTCATGAATTACCCCATTTTGTTATGCCATAGTAATAATATAATAATTTTGAATATTTTATCACTATGTGGTATTCATGCCACATTCATCCCACAGGGCCCTCTACATAGTTTCCATCAAGTGCTACATGTACACAATTTCTGATCCTCTTAACTCAAGATTGTGAGACAAGGCTGAATCCATTCTCTGACATGGTAGCAAGATGCAGTTGCACGGGTTGTTTTATTTCATCAATGTCAATAAACCTGCGTCCTTCCTCTATAGAAATAAGTAGTATGGAAATAAACAAGTCACATATGAGCAGATCTGGACAATATGGTGCATTGGCCAAGGGCTCAATTTTGAGGTCCAGGGTTATTGTTTTCTGAACATTTTGAGATCTGTGGGCAGGTGCATTGTCCATATGGAGTAGGGTGTTCCCTTCTCTCACCACCCCTTTCTTCCACTGAATGCTTTCTCAAATTGACCTGCAAACCCCGACCATACAACACTCTGACATTACAATACTTTCTGTTTATGTGTTGCCAGTCAGCCAAAATTTTTAAACAACACAACACTTGTTGCATATAAAACGTTCAAATCTAACTGAAATTTACCAAACTGGCTAAAATCTGAATATGTGACGTAAATGTCGGTCCCGGGGTACCTGTACCTCCTTCACGGAAATAAGGATATATCAATATGTATTATGTATCTGGTCTTCAAATCTTCAGAATTGATAGATAATTGAATGATGTATCACTGGTAGGAAAATCAAAGGGATTGGTCTATAAAAAGTATCTGTGTAAAAAAGCGTCCATTACTTATTGATCACCCCTCGTAAAACATCTCAAATGGTTAACTGGTACTGTGAAATGCAAGGGGAATAATTCACCCCCGCTCTAATATTCTCTATAATCTTTTCTTTACAGAATATAAGAGGGAGGGGTGACTTACTCCCCAGGGTTAATTGTTTAGGGGAACTGTTTTATCTTTGCGGTAGCCAGTTCTACATGTAAATATCATAGATATTACTGTTTAATAAGTTGATTACAATACGATGGCCATGACATATTCTACCAACACAAATGAATTAGAATTATAAATGGCAAAACGTTGCATACCATTGACGCAATCTAGACGCGTCCTTGAGCCTTGACGAAGGTCGATCAATTATATTGCGCTATAAATGCATATTATTAATTACGAACCGATTCAAAAGTCGCCATCTAGACTCGATCAAAGATATTTCATTAGTTACCATTGCCAAACTAAACTCATAAATGATTAATGGTCTTATGAAATATTAAATTCAAATAGTAATATTCAATTAATCAGTGGCTTCAACTCCCATCATATTATAATATTCACATACGAATTTAAATTCTAAGCAATCTGAAAAAGTGCTCTCATTCGAAGGTAGTAAACAACGGTTCGTAAAAGTCTGTGAGATGCCCGTGAGATGCATGCATATTTTATGAGACTTTTTTATTCCTTTTTTTATTCAGAGAAAAAACATTTGATTTTAGGAGACAAAAGCCTGTCATATACTAAGCCCGCAAAACACTGGATGCGGATGCTAGGAACACTTGGTTCGAAATAAACGGTCATTTTTGAATTAAAATTTGTGATATTTGTGAACCTAATTTGCTGTTGGCTTTGATTTACATCCATAAATTATCATGTGTATTTTCACAATTTATAATTTGGTTTAAAATACGCATATATAGATATAATTGAAGACCAAGCACTTCAAATTCAAAAATGAAAGTTTCCTCGGCACGGGACACTCATTTATCCTCAACGAGTGTTTGTACGGGCTCAGGGCGTCGTGAGGGAGCATTTGTCCCAACCGGCAAGATTTGATATTTTGGAAAAAAGACATTTATTTTGTTTTCATTATTTCAAAAGGACGATTTCATTCGATTTGTTCACCAAGAATAACACATTTGTTTATATTTTTGCTCAATAGAACGCACAAAGGTTTATTCATTTTGATCAGCCAAGATATAGTAACGAGGGTTAAGTTGGCGAGATGAACCAAATCTTAAGCTACAAATAACTTCAATAAATACAAATTTATTTGGGGGCATTATCTGTAAATCCAATTACTTAATCAGAACAGGGACATATAAATAATATCTCTGATACCATTATTATGTTAGACGATTAATAATAGTCGGACACGGTGCCTAAAATACGATAAGCTGTTGGGAATCTATAAATCCCATAACGTTAAACCAATTAAACAAAAAGAAAGATTGTTTTCTGGTCGCTAAATGTCAGTGGATTTCAATAAGTAGAAATGTTTAGATCGTGGTGTCTTGTCTTTACAAACTAGAGAAGATGAGTATTAGAAATCGTGACATTTTCAGCAATCTCTTACATATATTGATAATTAATGAATCATTTACATATCTATACGGAGCATTGAAAAGAATACGCTTGGTTATCGAGTAGACAACGACATTTAGAGCACATGTTGTAATGGTCATAAAAGTGCATTTAGTTGAGCTACGCATCTGAAATTTGAGTTGATAATCTGGAGTTGCTCCATCACTGGTCCCCACCTGGTTGTAAAGACGTTACGTCTTTATAACAAAATGGACGAACTTCCGTTGGAGGAAATTTTTACTTTCATCATTTTCACCAAGAAGGAGGTTAATTCATATTCAAACATTTTACCAAATGTTAATAGTACCCGGTTACTGAATAGCGAATCAGTTACGAGTATAAACGTCCACGGGCTCCAATAACCGAGTGAGGATTTCTCACTTCAACAACCAGGACGTTAATAGGCCATAACATGAAGCAACCAAGACGTTATGAAATTCACCGGAAGTGAGGAATTCTCACTCAATTATTGGAGCTGATAGATTATAATGTGCAAATATTGTAAAGAATTAGTCAGAATTCATACAGACAAAAACCTATACAACAATATGGTGGTGGCATTTTTTGTGTTACCCTGTAATATATATATCTTCAATCATTTCCTCATCACTATATATCCATTGAAAATACTGACCAAACAGATTTAAGGTTTTCTGAAAATATTTGTATATGACGAAAATCTTAATTTGAAACGAAATAATACGATTGAACATACAGTATTGATGAATTGACAATTTTACACGAAACTATATGCGGAAGTCGTGATATTCTCTGAAAGAATATTGGCTGCGATTAATTAGATCTTCTATCAATCTCGTGTGTTCGATATTTCAGCGAATCTCATGAAAAATAATCCACTTTATTGTTGGTTTCGTGTTGATACATTGGATCATTGTTCATCGTTTTCACGATTTATCGTGCGTTCATATCTTCTGCTCATCACGTTGTTTCTGTACAAACTTTATTAATTCCTTTTATCGTGTTACATTGATTGAACTTTCAATATCTAGCGTTTTCAGATTTGTATCGGTTAGAAAGACTTCAATTTCATTCATTGAATCATAAACATTTGACTTGTAAAAGATATGAAACAAGCATTTTATTTCAACAATTGCAGTATTTGCACGTCACGCGGGAAATTAATTTATTCATTAACTGTCATTTAAATGAATGGAGATGGAATATTGGAAAGTTTGAATTGAATAGTTATATACGAAGACTGCAAGTGCTTTTCATTAACTTATCATGATATCACA